CCGGAGCTTTGATCATTGCCCAACCGGCTGAATTTTAGTTTACGAAGCTAAATGGTCAGAATGGCTGAAAAGTCTGCCTGGGGTTCTGTTCTGCTGTGGTGGCAGCCATGGGGAAAGGGGGAGGAAGGCGAGGACGTACTTCTCAGCGGAGTGGTTCAGTGTAAGGCAGCGTCAAGAAGGTCGTTGCTGTTGACATACAAAAATGCTTTTCGTTAACATCTCACCGAGATCCAGAGCAGAGTTGGTTTTCCTTGTCTGTCCTTGGCTCTGCCTGGGGTAAATGCATGCTTCCCGTGGGGCAGTGCGAGTCATGAAAGGAGGTGGTGTGCTCAGGCTGTCCTCAGTCTTCTGGGGAGTCTGTGGAGCCCCCCATACTCAGGCTGCCTTTCGGAACAGGGGAGGAAAGGGCTCGAGCTTCTGTAAGACGTACTTGCATCTGGAATACTGTTTCAAGTCGGTTTTTTACTTGAAATCAACTACCTAAAATGAAACTTAGTCACTTTCGTGCAATGCTGTACTCTTAAAGAAGCTGGAATTAGCCTTAGAAGAGTTGCTGAGGAATACGCTGGGTATCAGACTAAAAATGGCACAGAAGATGTCAACGATTTTCCAGCTGGCAGAACTCCCGAAAGGCCGCCGCTCCTCCAGCCAGGTCCGGGCTGACGGATCGCCAGGCGAAACGCGGGTTGTTGATGCGGCACGTCCGTGCCAAATACTCCTGTAGCTGCACGGCTGAAATGCTGAATTCGTTACCAGTCGCTGTTAAGTCTCCAGTCGGGGTTGTTAACAGCGTGTTTAAGTTAAACACCGGTTTTTTAAATAATGTTTTTTGTGCTCTTGTTATGCAGGCTGAGGAACTCAAGATGGCGACTCAGCTGACTGGACCGGTTATGCCGATCAAGAACGTAAGTGTAACGTAATCACGTTCTGTGTGACGTAATTGAGACTTAAACTTCACGGAGAGGATTCTCCTCTTGCTGTCCTACAGTTAAGGGTTGCTGTCTCCAGACTCTTCCTCTCCTGGATCAAAAAAAAAACCAGGAACAGGTCGAGCTTGTCCTTGTATTTCGCCAAGCTCTGTCCAGTTCCTGGGTGCCGCAGAGCGTGCTGCAAAGAGCAAATTACTTCGAGCTCTGCTACGCTTTTTATCAGCTGAGGAAGCCCTTAAATCACGAGCTGTGTTTCTGGGTCCGGAGGAGAGCTCCAGGCACCAGTGCCAGGGGTTCAGGGCAGGATGTGTTGGTTGGGAATGGTCGTACGTGCGTTCCGCTTCTGCCCGAAGCGGCGCGTGGGAGAAGCGCGGCCACGCACGCTCTCCAGAGAAGGCTGCGGCGGAACCTGCGCGATAACCCCCCAAATGGCGCCGTTCCCACAAGGCCACGGGTTAAAGCGCCCGTGAAGCGTCTCCGGCGTGCGCTCGTGCTTGGCGCTGTGTCCTCCAGGCAGGCTCCGGGGTCGTTTGCCCGCTTTTACCTTCGAGGGAGCTCGTCCCCCTGTGAAATCTGGGGCGCTTTAGGGTTGGGGTGAGGGCAGGTTGCGTAGTCACCGTTTGTCTCGAAACCCTCGCCGCTTCTGAAAGGCGCTGGCGGTAGTGCGCCACAAACCTGACTCGGATTTCACGTTGCGCTTGGTGGGGTTTGTTTTTTTTCCCTGGTACGTTCTGGCCTTGCGCTGACGTGCGCCGGCGAACTGGGAACCGGCTGAAACGAGGAGCCTGGCGGAGCGATGATAAGGGCAGGGCCTGTAGATGGCATAAACGCTCTATTCTTAACAGCATCCTGCAGCTCGGGGTAAAAATGTAGCGAGATTAATTGCGTTAAGCCTTAAATGCGGTGTTCTCCGGGAGCCTGTGATGTGCAGCCTGACTGTCTGGCGCTCTCTCCCACTAGGTTTTCAAACGGGAGAAGGCCCGCGTTATCTCGGAAGACGAGAAGAACTTCAAGGCCTTCGCCAGCCTGCGCATGGCCCGGGCCAACGCCCGTCTCTTTGGGATTCGTGCGAAACGTGCCAAAGAAGCGGCAGAGCAGGATGTGGAGAAGAAGAAATGAACTGTTCTCCCTAGAACTGTCAATAAAAAAAAAAAAAAAAAAAAAAAAAAAAAAAAAAAAAAAAAAAAAAAAAAAAAAAAAAAAAATTACAGAAATACGAGTGTGCTGTCTTTTTAGGGCAAACGCGCAGGACGGAGCCGCCCCGCTCTGCCGCAGCGTGCGCGCTGGTGCAGATCGTGGGCCGCCGTGCGTGGAGGGATGCGGTTCGGGGGAGTCGCTCTTCAGGCGTGGGAAACCTCATTTGCTGGGATCAGAGGCTCCAAACTTCCCCGAAAACGAGTGAAACGAGCGCCTCGGCCCTGCGCCGCTCCCTTTCCTTTGCTTTGGCTCTGGGGCCGCAGCCGGGGCTCCCCCACCAGACCTTGGCCGCGTGAGGGGCTGCTGAAGCTGCCAGCTGGGGGGTTTTTTTGGGATCCCCCCTCCCTGCCAGGCTCCGTCTGCTTCCCACCCAGCTCTTTTCTATGCCAATTTTCAGATTTAATGATTTCCACACCTCTGCCTCTGGTTCTGTGCGAGGCAGAGCACGTTGGCTCTGCGGTAGAAGGCGGGGTGTTGCGGTGGGTGTCACCGGTGGGTGCTTGGTCTGCTTCGGCTGCCGCAGGGGCTCGCCTGCTGCTGTTCCTGTGCACCTTTAAGCCATCATTTATTTCCAGAAACACCTTGGTGGCCTCAAAGAGGAGCCCGGCCCTGCCCTGGAGCAGGCTCCGGGGGCTCGGGGGGGCTCCGGGGCTCTGCCTGCCCCGGGGCCGGGGGCGAGGGGTGATGGGGCAGCGTCGGCGGGGGCCGTCCCGCTCTGGGGAGCGCTCGAGCGAGCCCCTTTGCTGGCTCATCGGTTCTGGGGCCGTTCTGCAGCCTGGCTGCGCCGCAGATCGCCCGTGCCGGGGATAATTAAGTCGTTTGTATTCGTCAGCAGTTGGGTGATGGAAACTTGGGGGTCGGGTGCGATGGAGCGCTCCGGCGCAGGGGCTGCAGCCCCGGCACAGCGGGATAAACCCCAGGTTGCTCAAACACGGGGGCAAGAGCTGCCCGGCGTGGGGCTGCCCGTGCCGCCGCAGGCTGCTGGCTTGTCCTCCCCAAGCCTGCGGCCCGATCCTGCGACCGGATCCCGCGTCCCGCCGTGGGTCGGCTGCCTCCTGGGCCATGCCACGGGGCTGCGGGAGGCGTGGGGAAGGAGGGTGGCCTATTTCTGCCACGCGGGCTGGGGATTAGCTCCCGAAGCCCGGGGCCCCGCAGTGCCCTCACGCTCCTTAGCCCTATCTGCATTTTAATCCCTCCGCATACGGGCTAATTACATCATCTTTCATAAAGCCGAGCTGACAGCGCTGTGGGGTGACGTGCGTGGGTGGGGGGTGCCGGGACAGCCCCCCGGCCGAGCGATGGGGCGCCCAGGGCTCCGCGTGCGTGGGGTGCGGGTCTGGGTGTTGCGGCACGTGGGGAGGGCACCCAGCAGCTTTGGGGCACCCTGTCTCTGTGCTGGGGTGTCACTGAGAGCGCGGGGGGCTGGGACCAGCATGGGCCTTGGGCACCCCGTGGGGAGGGCGAGGGGCTGTGGGGCACTGGGAGCGAGGGCTGGGCCACGGGGGGCTCGCCTGGAGCGGGAGCACCTGCCCTGGCACGGCCAGTGGTGCTGAGCTCCGGTGCCGGCAGCGAGGCAGTTAACGGAGCTTGTCGTCTCCCTCTTAGGGCTCCGCTCCCGAACTGCAGCTTGAGTCAGTTGTGTGGAGGTGGCAGCGGCGGCAGCTCCGGCTGGCACCCCGGCGCCGGCTGGCACAGCAGCTCCGGCGGGCACACCAGCTCCGGCTGGCACACCGACCCCAGACCTCAGCCCAGCCACGTGTGGAGCCCAGGCCGCCAGCACCCAGGTGAGGAGGGCGGCTGAGCAGGGTGGGAGCCGGTGCCCCCTCCGCCAGGGGATGCCAAGGGGTGCCCGCGATCCCGGTGAGGGGGACGATGCCCACCGGAGCTGTGGCACCAGAGCCATGTGCTGGGGAGGGCCCGGGCCCTGCATGACTTCGCTGGGAAACTTTGGCCGGGCGGCGGCAGCAGCTCCCGGCCGGGCTGGGCGCAGCGGGGTGCAGCAGGCGGGCGGGCAGGGGGCTGCTCTGCCCCTGCCCAAGCCCGAGCCGGGCAGCCCCCGGGGGCTGCAGCTGCAGGGACAAGCCCTGGACTGGGGCTGGTGCTGGCAGAGCCCCTCGGTGGCCCGGCACCGCAGCATCGCCCGGCTGAGTCTCACTGGCATCCAGGTGGAGGGGAGCCCCTGTCCCCAGCACAGGGCAAGTCCCCTCGTCGCCCCGGGGTGCCACCAGCCCTGCCCAGGGCAGCGGGACATGGCCGGCACTGCCAGCATCGCCCGGTGGCACGGACAAGGACCTGGCGTCCCTCGCTGGCGAGCCTTGCCCGGGCGGGGGGTGCGCTGCCAGCAGGGACGGGAGGGTGTTTCTGCTCCCCAGCAGCAGGAGGGGCACCCCGGGGTGGGGGCCCAGGGCTGCCCGCGCAGCCCCCGCTCCTGCACAGCCTCCCAGCCCCGCTCGGGTGCCCCTTCCCTGCGGGACGCATCCAGCCCCTGGGGTGGGGCTGGAGCAGAGCCGGGCATGGCCCCGCGGGGGGGCACAGCAGCGCCCGTGGGGCTGGCTGGCACTTGGGGGTACACGGGCAGCGTCACGAGGGGTGACCCAGCCCCAGCTCACCCCACTGTGCTTTGATGCCTTGCAGGGCCCCGCGGAGCCTCCGGGACTGGAACCGGCCACCTCACCTCGGAGGGGCGCCCCGGGGTCCCCTCCACCCACCGGAGCATCCCACCAACACCCACTGCCACCAGCGACCTGCCCGACCTCGCCCACCATCCCCACGCCTGGCACCGTGGGGTGACGCGCCCTGGGCATGACAGGCGCCTGCCCGGCTCCTTGACGGCAACGAAGGCAGCAGCCACCCTTGCCACCCCGCTCTCCCAACATGCCCTTCGCCCACGGGGCCGCTTGCCCCCCGTCGCGCCCGGCCGCCCACCGTGCCACGGCCACCATGGGCGAGGCGCCCGAGCCGTCCCCCCAGGCCTCGCTGGCCGTCCTCTCCAAGGTGGAACTGCGGGTGAGCTGTAAGCACCTCCTGGATCGTGACACGCTCAACAAGTCGGACCCCTGCGTCCTGCTGCTGATGCAGTCCCAGGGCCAGTGGATGGAGGTAGGAGGGTGGGGGGCACCGCCGGCACCCACCGCAGCGGGGCAGGGCTGGGGCAGGCTGTCATCGGGGACGCAGTGGGGCTGGGTACGGGGTGCTGGGTGCAGGGTTTGCATCTCTGGGATGGGGACAGAAGCAGAGACAGCCCCAGGGTGGCTGCGATGCCCACGGGGCCGGAGTCAGGGCAGGAGCTGCTATGTAGGGTGCAAAGTGGGGTGCAAGGTGCAGGAGATGGTGGAGAGCAGGATGCAGGGTGCAGAGCAGGGTGCAAGGTGCAGGTGATGGTGCAGAGTGGGGAGCAGGGTGCAAGGTGCAGGAGATGGTGCAGAGCAGGGTGCAGGGTGCAGAGTGGGGTGCAGGGTGCGGTGCGGGGTGCAGAGCGGGGTGCAAGGTGCAGGGGATGGTGCAGAGCACAGGGTGCGGTGCGGGGTGCAGAGCAGGGTGCAAGGTGCAGGTGATGGTGCAGAGTGGGGAGCAGGGTGCAAGGTGCAGGAGATGGTGCAGAGCAGGGTGCAGGGTGCAGAGTGTGGTGCAGAGCAGGGTGCAGGGTGCAGAGCAGGGTGCAAGGTGCAGGAGATGGTGCACAGTGGGGTGCGGGGTGCAGGGTGCAGAGCAGGGTGCAAGGTGCAGAAGATGGTGCAGAGCAGGGTACAGGGTGCACACAGAGGATGCTGGATGCAAGGTGCAGAGCTCACAGTGCAGGGTGCCGGGTGCAAGGTGCAGGGTGAAGAGCAGGGTGCAGGGAGCAAGGTGCAAGGCACAGAGCAGGAGGCTCATGGGGCAGGGCAGGGCGCTGTGGGACTCTCAGCAGCGTGTGGGGACAGTGCAGAGGCCTTGGTCGGAGCGAGTCCCGCGGGGCTCCAGCAGGGCCGGGAGCAGGGTGCCAACCGTGCGTGGCTCCAGCACGGCTCCGCTGCCCCGGGCCAGGGCCAAGGGACGTCTTGGCCACCCCTGGGGTGGGTCAGGGCTCACGGGCTGCTCTCATGCTGCTTGGGGCAGGCAGGGGGGTAGCTCGGAGGGGGGTCGGGGCCAGCACCGCGGCCGTGTGCCCCTCACTGTGTGCCCCGTGGGGCCCTGGTGCCCACTGGGGCTGGGGCTGGCACCGGCACTGCGGCTGGCGCTGCCACCGGGGCTGGCACTGGGGCTGGCACAGCTCCTTCCCATCACTTCCCCATGGCTTAGCTCTGGGCTGGCGCCGGCAGCTCCGCTCTCGCTAATCACCGCTGCTCAGCCGGCAGATTTAGCGCTAAATCCCTCTGTGTGCAATCGATTCTGCTCGCCGGAGCCAGAGCCGGAGCCGGAGCGGGCAGCGAGGGGCCCCGTGCCAGCTGCGGGCTGCGGCTCCCCAGGCTGTGCTGTGCCGAGCCAGTTATACCTGACTGTGCCACGGTGTGCCGTGCCACGCTCTGTGTGCCGTGCTGTGCCGAGCCAGTTGTACCCGACTGTGCCACGGTGTGCCGTGCCACGCTCTGTGTGCCATGCTGTGCTGTGCAAGGGCCAGATCCAAGAGGGGCCACCTTTCGGAGGGACTCTGAGCTGTCCCCTCCCTATCCCTGCCAGCACGCGTCCCCCAGTCCCCCAGCCCAGCCAGGATGGGGGCTGGAGCTGGCTCAGCCACTGCCCGCTGGGTCTGAGACATGGACTGGGACACACTGGCGGGGCTGGCACCAGAGGGGCCAAGATGGCTGGGACCTGGAGCCCTGTGGCGGGGCCGTGGGGCCAGCGGTGCCCACGCAGGAGGCACGGAGCTGCACGGGGTGGCCCTGCCGGCACCAAGCAGTGCGGGCTCAGCAGCTGCTGCCGGACCAGGCAGGCAGCGGGCAGGGGACAGCAGGCTGGCAGGGTGCCCTGGCCAGGATGCGTCCCGTTGAGTCAACGCTGGCAGGGACAGGGTGCGGGGGAGGCTCCTGGAAGCCGCTCAGCGCCCGCTGCCAGCGCGGCCAGGAGGCACTGGGCACCCACCCGCCTGCCAGGGCCACGGTGGCCAGTGGCCCCCACCTTTGGCTGGCCCAGGTTGGGAGTGCAGGGGCTCATCCTGGGCACCAGCCCTTTGCTCCTGCTTGAGCAGAGCTGCGGCAAACTGTCATCCAGAGCATCCCCTCGAACTGACCGTGGGCTTTGCCCCAAGCCCCGGAGGGAGCAGTGCCCCCGGACCGGGGGCTGGCAGGGCTGGTGCCCTCGGCGGCACACCTCCCTGCCCGAGCCGGCGACGGGGCTGCCTCCAAATGCCGCTCGCCTGGGAACCGGCGCGGGCTGGTAAATGCTTGTGAGGGGCTGGTCCTTCCCGGCAGCTGCCCAGCATCCCGCATCCCCAAATCCCCGTGCCCCCGGGTTCCTGCATCCCCGTGCCCAGCTCCGGGCGAGCTCCGGCATCCCAAGGCCCTGGGCAGCTCCGCTGGCCCTGGCCCCGGGCTGGGCTCTGGCCCCGCTGCCCCCCCAGCTGAGCTCCTGCTGTGCAGGTGGACCGCAGCGAGGTCATCAAGAGCAACCTCAACCCCGTCTTCGCCAAGATCTTCACGGTGGATTACTACTTCGAGGAGGTCCAGAAGCTGCGGTTCGAGGTGTACGACAGCCACGGGCACGCCGGCGTGGGCACGCACGACGATGACTTCCTGGGGGGCATGGAGTGCACCGTGGGGCAGGTGAGCCCGCGCCCCTCGCCCCGGGGACGCCCGCCGGCGGCGTCGGGGGGGGGGGGGGCCCCCCCCCCCCCCCCCGGGGGCCCCCCCGCGGGCGGCGTCCGCTCCCCAACCCCCCCGGCTTTTGCAGATCGTGGCGCAGAAGCGGGTGACGAAGCCGCTGTTCCTCAAGTACGGGAAGTTCGCGGGCAAGTCCACCATCACGGTGAGCGGCGGAACCCGCACCGGGGGTGGCACCGGGCCGGGGTGTGCAGGTGGCACCGAGCTGGGACCCTGGGGTGGCAGCAAGCTGGGGTATATGGGTGGTACTGGACTGGGGTGCTGGGATGGCATCAAGCTGGGACATGCGGGTGGCACTGAGCTGGGGGGCCATTGAGCTGGGGCACATGGGGGGTCCCCAATGACCCTCCTTCTGTCACCCAGCCCCGCAGCCCCCCAGGCTCTTGGGCGTGGGGGGGGCCTCAGATGTCCCCACTGACGTCTGCTGGCCACCCTGGGGGGTCCCCACTGTGCCGGGGGAGGCACATGGCACCCTGTCCCCTCCCGGGGCACTGTCCTGCCCACACAGGCAGGGAGGGCAGGGGGACAAAGCCCTGTCGGCCGCTGAGCACCCTGCGACCGCCTCTCCTCGCAGGTCATCTCAGAGGAGATCTCGGGGAACAACGGCTACGTGGAGCTCGCCTTCCGGGCCAAGAAGCTGGATGACAAGGTGAGCCGGGTCCCACGGGCAGGGCAGGCAGGGCGGGCAGGGTGGGCAGGGCAGGCAGGGCGGACAGTGCTCTGCCCCATCCTTCCTCCTCCAGGACCTCTTCAGCAAGTCAGATCCCTTCCTGGAGATCTACCGCATCGATGACGACCGCAGCGAGCAGCTGGTGTACCGCACCGAGGTGAGGCCCCGGGCGGGATCCGTCCGTCGGCTGGCCCGCGGCCGCCCCAGCGGCTGCCCGGCCCCGCTGAGCCCCTCGCCCCGCAGGTGGTGAAGAACAACCTGAGCCCCATCTGGGAGCCCTTCAAGGTCTCCCTCAACTCGCTCTGCAGCTGCGAGGAGAAGAGGAAGCTGAGGGTGAGGAAGGGCTATGGGGATCCCCACCCCTGCCCCGGGGGCACATGTCCCCCAGCTTCCCCATGGCCCTGCATGGGCGAAGTGCCGGGGACCCCAAGCCGCCGGGGACGGTGCCGGGGCTGGGTGCGGTTTGCCAGGGCTGAGCCGTGTCCCACCGCAGGGTGTGGTGTGGGACTACGACTCGCGGGGCAAACACGACTTCATCGGGGAGTTCTTCACCACCTTCGAGGAGATGCAGAAGGCGATGGGGGAGAACAAGGTGGGCGCAGGGACACGGGGACAAGGGGATGGCCTTTGGGGTCACCCTCCGTGCTGCCAGCAGATCCCGTTCCAGGAGGCACCTCCCAACTCCTCCTCTGGTTTTGGGGTTGTTCTCCCCTCGCCGCCCCCTCTTTGGGGAAGGGATGGTGGGTCTGGGTTCCTCTGGGGAAATCGGCCCTGGCTGGGCTGGCTGGAGCCCCTGGGCTGGCCGGGAGCGGGGAATGGTGGCTGAGGGGTTATGGGGCTGTGGGGCTGGAGCGTTATGGGGCTGCAGGGCTGCAGGGAGGCAGGGTTACGGGGCTGCAGGGTTATGGGGCTGCAGGGCTACGGGGTTGTGGGTTTGCGGTGTTGCAGAGCCATGGGGCCGGGGGGCTGCGGGGTCATGGTGGGGGGTTGCCGCGCTCGGGGCCGTGTCCCCGGGGCTGGGGGGCCGCAGGCAGCGCGGGTGCCGCGTGCTGCAGGTGCAGTGGGACTGCATGAACCCCAAGTACAAAATCAAGAAGCGCAACTACAAGAACTCGGGGGTCGTGGTGCTGCTGGACCTGAAGGTGAGCACCCGCGTGCTGAGCCGTGCCGTGCTGTGCCGTGCCGTGCCATGCTGAGCTGCGCCCAGCTGCTGTGGGGCGGCGTGGGGCAGGACCGGCTGACGCAGATCCCTCTGGAAGATCCACAGGGTCTACTCCTTCCTGGACTACATCATGGGCGGCTGCCAGATCCACTTCACGGTGAGCATTGTCCCCCACCAAAGCACCGGGGGCCGGGCAGGGGCTCCGGCGTTTGGCCACGCACCCATCGCCAGGGCAGGGGGCCATGAGCCATGGCTGTGCCCATGGTGCCGGCGAGTGGGGCCGGCAGAGCCACTCGACCCCAGCGGGGACATGCCGGTGGCCCCGCTCGCCCCGGGGGACCCTGATTGCCAACCCCTCATGCCAGGTGGCCATCGACTTCACGGCCTCCAACGGGGACCCCCGAAACAGCTGCTCCCTGCACTACATCAACCCCTACCAGCCCAACGAGTACCTCAAGGCGCTGGTCGCGGTGGGTGAGATCTGCCAGGACTACGACAGGTCGGTTGCGTCAGCGGGTCCCCCAGAGCCAGGCCACCCCGGTGATGGCCACCCCGGTGCTGGCACTGCCGGGGCTGGGGCTCCTCATGCCTCTTCCCTTGCAGCGATAAGAAATTCTCAGCTCTGGGCTTTGGTGCAAGGATCCCCCCCAAGTATGAGGTAAGGGGGTGGTCGGGGTGCCGTGGCCCCGTGGGACCCCAGGGATGTGCTCGTCCCTCCGGGCACCCTTGGCCATGGCTCCTGTGGGGCTCGGCAGGTGCCGGGGGCCGTGGCGGGTGGTGGGCACCGGCTGCCCCCTCCCCTATCCTGAGTCCAGCTCCGGCGGGGCTGGGGAGGGGGGTCCCATGGCCCCCCCCGTGCCAGAGCCCGGTGCTGCCCCCCTCACCCCTCACATCCCCCCGCAGGCATCCAGGGCGTCGTGGAGTCCTACCAGAGCTGCCTTCCCAAAATCCAGCTCTATGGCCCCACCAACGTGGCCCCCATCATCTCCAAGGTGGCTCGCGTGGCAGCCGACGAGGAGCGGACGAAGGAGGCTTCGGTACGTACCCACTGCCCCCGGCTGGGCTGAGACCCAGCACACTCATGTCACTTGTGGCTGCTCCCACGTCGGAGCCGAGCCCTTGTCCGGCTCCCCTGTATGGGGCGGGCAGCGGGGCCGGGCAGCCCCCCAGAGCATCCCTCCCCCCCAGCAATACTTCATCCTGCTGATCCTGACGGACGGGGTGGTGACGGACATGGCGGACACGCGGGAGGCCATCGTCCGCGCCTCCTACCTGCCCATGTCCATCATCATCGTGGGGGTGGGCAACGCCGACTTCACCGACATGCAGATCCTGGATGGGGACGACGGCATCCTGCGCTCCCCCAAGGGCGAGCCCGTCCTCCGCGACATCGTCCAGTTCGTCCCCTTCCGGGAGTTCAAGAACGTGAGTGGGGCGTTGGTGGTCCCCTTGTCCCCTCCTCTCCCCTCCTGTCCCCTCCTGTCCCCACGGCAGGACCGAGCATTGCGGCACGGCATGCTGGTGCCCCGCAGGTGCTGCCCTGCACGCTGGGGCGGGTGGGTGCCACGGTGCCACCGGCTCACCCGTCCCCCCGGTGTCCCCCGGTGTCCCCTGTCCTGCAGGCGTCGCCGACGGCCCTGGCAAAGTGCGTGCTGGCGGAGGTGCCCAAGCAGGTGGTGGAGTACTACAGCTACAAGGCCTTCCCGCCCCGCTGCCCCCAGCCCGAGACCCCCGACTCCAGCCTCAGCTCACCGCAGTGAGAGCCCCCCTGCTCCCCCCCAGCACGGCGTGGGGACGGACGGTGTCCCCCCCGGTCCCAGCCCTGCCGCGGACCCCTCCTTGCCTGGCAGGGGGGGCACCGGGAGCCGGCGGCGTGCCCCTGCTGGCACCTGGCCAGGGACACGGGGACGGTCCTGGTGCCCCGGTGCAGGACACCCCCCCCGTGCTGCCCGGGGGGCCGTGGGTCCCCAGGGGGCATCGCCCGGTCCCGGTGGTCCATGCCCTGTGGCCCATTCCCACTCCATCCCCGCTGTCCCCGCTTGTCTGTCGCTGTGACATCGTTTGGAGACTGCATGACGAATCCCACCCCAGTGTGTGGGGGCCCCCCAATAAAGCAACCAGCCCTGTGCCCGTGCCGTCTGCTCTCTAGGTGCCGATACCAAACCTCCCTGGTGGGTGCTCAGAGGGACAGGGAGCTCCCAGGGTGCTGCCCGTCCCCCCCTCACGCCCTTCACCGCGCCACCCAGCCCCGGCCGGCGGCAAGAGCCGAACGCAGCCCCCAGCCCTGGCTGCCTGCATGGGCACTGCTGCTGGCTGCCCCTATATTTAGGGGGAACTCGTGACTGGCAGCGTGCAGGGGAGCGCCAGAGCTTTAGAGCTGCGGTGCTTTTGAGCAGCCGCCGCTTTCAAGTTGTGCCGGAGCGGCCGCCCGTCCCGCTGTGCTGCTGCTGGCTGCCACGGCCCCGAAATCCAGGCCACGGGAGCGGGAGCGGAGGCAGCGCCGGCGCCTTCCCCTGCCCCTGCCCGGCACATTGCTGCTGCCGTGTGCCATGTGCCATGTGCCGCGTGCCACGTGCCATGTGCCACGTGCCGTGTGCCATGCACTATATCATGTGTGCCATGTGCCACCTGCCGTGTGCCGCGTGCTATGTGCCATGTACCGTGTGCCGTGTGCCACGTGCCACGTGCTATCTGCTGTACCATGTGCTGTGGGTCACATGCCACGCACTGCATGCCACATGCTGTGCCGTGTGCTGCGTGCCGTGCGCTGTGCCGTGTGCCGTGTGTCGGGCACCGTGTGCCATGTTCCGTGTGCTGTGTGCCACATGCCATGCGCTGTGTGCCACGCACCGTGTGCCGTGTGCCACGTGCCGTGTGCCGCCTGCTGCGTGGTTCATGGTACGCGCTCCGTGTTGCGCCGTGTGCCGTGTACCCTGTGCTGCGTGCCATGTGCTGTGTGCCATGCGTATTGCCATGTGCCGTGTGCCGTGTGCCGTGTACTGTGCACGCGTGCTGTGCTGCGCCGCTGCCATGTGCAGCACACCAAGTGCTGCGCGCCGTTGGCTCTGCCAAAAGCCGGCTGCGTTCGCTGTGTGCCAGCTGCCTCCTGCCACGTGCTGTGTGACACTGTGCCACATGCCGTGTGTCATCCGCCCTGTCCCGCGTGCCGTGTGACGCCGTGCCCTGTGTCATGCGCTGTGTGTCACTGTCCCGGTGCCGGCAGATGCTCCTGGAGAGGTGACGTCCACCAGGGTGGGGTGTGACGCAAGGCCACCGCAGGGACTGAAACCAGGGCCTGGGGCAGCCGTCATGGGCAGGGGCCACCCAAGCGCCTGCGACGCGGGTGCCACTGGCTCTGGGGCCGGGGCTGTGGGTCACCCCGGGTGCCAGCCTGCCCCGGTCCACGCAGCTGTGCTGGCTGGGAGCCGCTCACCCGTCCACCGGCACGGCCGTGCTGCACTGCCATGCCCCTCCGGCACTGCCCACTGCCGGCACTCCTGCACGCAGGCAGAGCGCGCTGCCCGCACCGCCCCGATCAACCCGCATATTTATAGCTCCTGATTCATCCCCCTATAAAGCAGGAATAATAGACGTCGCCATAGAAACCCGGCGCCTGACGAGCCGGCGGCGGGCGCCGGCCCTCAGGGCGGGGAGGGGTTTTGGGGACCCCATGGGGCTGGGGGTGCCTGGCATCACCCAGCTGGGCTGCACCCACCAGTGGTGCAGCTGGGCTGGGGAGCAGCAGCAGGGCAGGCAGGGCAGGCAGGGTGCTGGTGCCACTGGGCCGCAGTGCCGGTGTCCCCAGGGAGGGTCTCACCACCTGCCCCCAGCTCAGCCAAGCCCTGCCAAGGCGTCCTGCTTGTGCCAGTGCTGAGCCCTCACACCCCCGGCCCTGGCACTGTGCCATGCTGACCCAGCAGTTACCGGTTAATTAAGCCAGGGGTTAATTATTGACAGTGCCTGTGCTTCCCAAGTGACTCACTCGAGCAATTCCTTGGGACAGGGACTGGGGGTGCTGCCTGCCTGGGGCACCCCGGGGTGCTGGGGTGGGTGGGCACAAGCCCCTGGGTGCAAACCCCCGAGGTGGGGAGATGGGCAGAGGGCATCCAGCCAGGCTGGGCAGGGCACTGCGGCCCCCAAAGTGCCACAGGGGGGCACTGGGGCAGAGTGGGGGGCACTGGGGGGG